GTAACTCCAAAGTAAAATTTTTTTATTGACTCGTATTGAATTAATATATTAATATATTATGATTTCTTTGGTATTTACTATCACATATGCTACCATTAAGCGTGTATATACTAATAAGAAACATGAGAATTGCTTCCCCAGTAGCAATATTATTACTATAGTGTAATAAACATTTCGTTATATAGAGGTTTAGTGTAGTTTTCAGGGTCCTACACATGTGGTTAATATTAATGATTTAGTACTAAAATCAGATGATCATTTTGGATCTATTTATTAACGAGAATTTATGATGCGTATGTTTGTAAGGATTTACCAAAAATTATGAAGTTAATTTATTTGTTTAAACAATGAATGTAGTTAGAAAGTCCAAGAAAATTCGAGAACCTTAAATAGTAAATAGGGATCAAGATTTAAACTCTAACAGTACAAATTAATAAATATAATAATCAATTAGTATTAAATTTTTTTAAAAAATAATCAAGAAATAATAATTACCTAATGAATTTTTCTTTTTAATGGTATATGGATTTGAACTTCCCTCTAATTAAAACATAAATTGGAATCTTTTCTTTTTAAAATTAAGATAGTCAACACCAGTAAAAATGACATGATATACAAACTAACAGCATTAGTTAATTCATCAACCAAACATTTTTGAAAGCTGATCTACATGCCTATTATTACCATATTATCATTATAATATATTTAGAAAAATATTCAAAATGATCATAATCGATAGTAAAATAAATGATTACAACTTACTCCAATAGATTGATTTACTATACGAAGAGGTTAGTGTTGGTTTCCAAAACTATAGAGTTTTGCAACTGTGCGAAAGTCAAAAGCTTTCTCCACAAGTCGAAACGACTAACACTAGAAGAAGTGAAACATCAACCGCTTGCCTTCTAACTGTTTCCACACTATCAATAAAAGTTGAATCGTCACATGGGCCAGTGTTAAGTATAAGCATTAACCAAAACTTGAATAGGGTTTTGATTAGTTGAAATATGAATAATTTCAAATGCGCGTTTTACAATTCTAACTGCCATTAATATTTTCCGTTATGCAATATTTCTACGCCCTTTTATTTTTTTTTGTAATTTTTCTTTTTGTTGGTATGTCCATGCATCATAAGTGAATTGGTCAAATGTTGAACAATAGAACACAAAATTTGATTTTCTATCCACATTATAGTGGTAACAGATTCTATTGGCTTTTATTATGATAATAAAAATAAAGGACTACTTTTTTTATAGGTGGTTGTTTGGTTAGATATTTACGAACCTTTTCAGACCACATTTTATGTTATTATAACAGAATTTTGAAAGATGACGAAAACAAAAATTTAAATATTTTTCAAAATAATTAAAAGTTTAATTATGAACTTAGTATATTTAGATCAGTAGAAAAGCGTATTTAGTAATTGTATTAATATTAAAGATTAATATTCTACTTATTATTATTAATTAAAATACATAAAATTTAAAATTTAAAAATTATGAGCACATAAAGCATAACTTAAGCATAACCATGAATGCATAAAGCATAATTTGAAAAAAAAAATCATAGCTTACAGTAAACCGTTATATATAACATGTGTAACTATTCAAAATTCGAAGTAAAACGTAATAAAGCATAATCATAATGATGAATTCCATTAATTAATTAAAAAATAGATATTTTTGCATATTTATGTGAAGCATTATATCTTATACATGATGAAGATTTAATTCATTGTGATCTGCACAGTGGCAATATATTATTAGATGGAGGTGATTGTTACATCACAGATTTAGGATTATGTGGACCAGTTGATAAATCATCAAACAAAATTTATGGAATTGTGTCATATATTGCACCAGAGCTATTTAGAGGAAATAAGAGCACAAAAGAATCAGACATTTATAGTGTTGGAATGTTAATGTGGGAAATATTCGCAGACCGCCCACCATTTGATGATAGAGCTCACAATCATCGTTTGGTTTTTGATATATGTCAAGGTTTACGACCACCAGCATTGCCAGGAATGCCTGATGATTATGCACAAATGATGAGAAGGTGTTGGGATGCGGATCCTGCCAAGAGACCAACTACTGAAGAGCTTAATACATTTGCAAATGATAAATTTGAAGAAATTTATCAAACTCCAAGTTTTAATGAAAATAGCAGTGATATTGGTGATGATGGTGGTGGTATAAATTAGTTCGTGAAAAGGGTTTAAAAAAGTATCCGACCACCCCGTAATTTTATTATATAAAACACTTAATAAAGTTGACAAAATGCAAATTTTAAGGCCTTACATTTTGTTATCTTACTTGACCAAATTTTCTCAAATTTTAACCATATACAATTCAAGTTATTTTAAGCGGACTTACTTAATGACGTAATCCATGATCCAACGGAGTTTTGAAGGTAGGTTTTTACTAAGCTTAAAGTTTTCATAAAAATCACGGAATTTTTTATCTAATTTAAAGTTTTCATCCTAAATTCATTAATAATGCAAACTTGACAAGACTTTAAGTTTATATGCAAATTAACTTTTTACTTAATGCACCAGTCCCGGTTTGATTAATAAAATTTTGAACTGCATAAGGCGTAACATTTCCGATTATTAAAATGATCATCAGGTGGTCAAATATTTATGGTAGGGGAGTGTACAGCATCAAAATCTGAATTATCTAGAGATACAATCGACATCCTCAAAATGATTCATATTCAATACTACGGAATTTGAGCCAAAGATGCAATACGTACATGTATGCCAAAAACAAGGCGAATAAAATTTTATCGAACTACATAAATTATTCTCTTCGGATGACGTGAAACGTTTTATCGATGAAGTTCAATCTAAAAACGAAAGAAAAGAATTCAATATAGCAGTATATCGAAATGTAACACCAGCAAGCACATTGCAAACACTAAAGGTGAGTTTAATGCAAACTTAGGAATAAAATATCACAATAGTCTTACTGACAATTCTATCAGGAGCATCGTGTGGCCGGAATAGAATTGAGAATATACGCAATGTGGATGTGAATGAAGTTACTATCTCTACTGATAATACAATCAAACTCATTTCACATCATGTATTGAAATGTGTATTTATCCTTTTCTTTATGGTACGGAATTAATAATAGCTTTGAAGCGGAAGTCACATCCCTCTCAATCCGAAAGCAGAAATAAGAGAACTACAATTGATCTGAATAATCAATCGGAATCTGATAGTGAATGGTATTATGAAGACTCGGTGGAGAGTGAGAGTGTCAAAGAACTGCATTCAGAATTTCCTCGGGAAGAAGTAGATATCTTTAATGCTCCGAAAATTGAGGTAATCCTAGTTTCCACTATACCATTAATGTGTTTTTATGTCGCTTATTGGGACTAAGAGCAAGTTTGGTCTGTTACTGAAAAGTTTAGAGACGAAATTGTGCTTGAAAAATTCTAACATTATTTGTCTTTTCGATGTCGAATTTCCTTACACGAAACAACCCTTTAAAAAATTACCAATGGATCAGATGTGCATGATAAAGAATAAATGGTCAGAGGTAAATTTATCTTTTGTACTTAGATGAGAGTTATGAACAATGAATTGATAAAAACATTCTTTTAATAACAATGAGGCCGAAGAATTTATTAGTAAAAAAGAGATTGAAGAATGTTAGAACGAGTGCTCATTAAAAAAACTTGTGGACAATAACCACCGAATCATCAAAGAAAGTGGAAATGAAGATCTTAATTCGCTTATAACACCGTTTACGAAACAGCAATTTAGCAAATATTAATATGAGCATCGAAAAACTTACGAATTGTTTTGGTGTCAGGATTTTTATACACGGATGTAAGTTTGTGGTAGGTTTCTTTTACATTGTTGCGACTGCTAAATGAAATAACCGAATTTTCTTATACCAGGGTTCTCCAATTATTGCGTAGACATAGTGCTTTGTTAGATAGTAGTTCTAGCGAATATCAGTATCGAGATGAAATCGTTAACATTCTTCTGGCATCAATTTTTTACGATGTTGAAGATGCTCTGTGGACAAAAACGTAAGCTGTTCCTCTTTGAAAAGTTGACATTTCTAAATTTGCAAATCTAATCCTAATTATTAATAATAATAAACTAAGGAGAATTTTAAAATGATTCAAGAAAACAACAACGCAATTTCATCAAACAAGAGAATGAACGTGAAAGACTTGGAGATAAACACGATGGCATCCTATACATGAATGTACGTGGCGTAAAGGTTGGAGTTGGATTTATCGAAGTAGCGGACAATGCATTTAACACTATAACATCTGATAAAAATGATGATTTAGAGAAATTATTAAAAGGTATATATGTAATTCCAGTCATTTGATGAAACATGACATCCAACTAGTTCTATTCTCTTAATCGTAACAATAACGATATCTCTTTGGTATCAGTATGCACACCAATCTAATGTGAATACCTCGAAATTGCAATAATTTGTTGTGTTGCTTTGTGGTAAGTGGTTTATACAAGCCTTGATGATTTTTTATTCAAAAAACCGAGATTAACTTGATCATTTTGAACAGGACGTGAGTTTCGTTTTTAAGTATGCATTTGATTGGTGACATGTATGTTGTTGATGAATATGATGCTTTTGTCATACCAGACTCTGGATTGAACCTTTTACATGTTGGAGATATTGTCAAAATAGTAAAGAAATTTAAAGTAAGTTCTGTTGTTTTAATCCTGCAAAGAGATGTTTATGGTTCTTTACTTCATCACATTCATACCATTTTTTGTAGATACGAATGATCAAATATTGTCATAAACTTATTCAAGAGCCACGTATAGCGACTCGGCATACAATCTCAGGATTACCAACTCTTCACAAGAAAAATCAAAATGAATAATTTTGCGTTGAGCAAATAAATGTATTTTATGGCATTAAAAGGTGCAATAATTGTTTCATGGACTACTAGCTGGATGCAAAACTAATTTTTATCAATAAAGCATATCAGAAGTAGTCGCAATCTTTATATAATGATAATAAACTGTAAAAATTATAAAGATTTGTGCGTTTTTATTTTATTAAAACATCGATTTTTGCCTGATATGGTGGATTATGTGAAATGTGTGCATCAAAAAATATATACTAACCACGATTAGTATGCTAACTTGACTAAATCTGATTTTTTGACCGATCAATTTTGTCATAGTTGATTACAAATTGTGATTGCTCTATAATCTAAACTACATCAGTGAATAAGCCAGTCATTCTGTTGATTAGTGTATGAGCAAGTGTCCCTATACTTTTGATCAGGAGGTGTATTTGGATTTAAATGTGAAATATCAAATGAATTAGAACTTTCAGATTATCATAATTATCATCCAATTCTGTTGTAAGATCATAAACAAACAAACAAAATATTATTAATTATTGCAATCAATCCAATGATAATATAAAATACATACAATCAACATTAGCATCAAATTCAACTTCTATACTATTATTTGTTCTTGATTCAATTCTTTTTTGTTTCACTTTTAAATGTGAATTTACTGATTCCAATTTATCTGGGTTAATGGTTGCAAAGTTTTCACAATTAATTAAGTGTTTACCAATAGACGGAACGATATTAGAAATTTTTAATTGTGTAGCATTATGTAAAGACCATTCCCATCTTTTATTTGTATGCAAACTTTGCAGATAGCTAAACAATTACTTTTATCTCCCCAAGTATAAAGTTCCAACATTTTTTTTAAAAAAATGATCGATTGATTGATGAAAAATTTTTTGTGATTTGGTGATTATGTAACGGGCATATTGCAACAAAACCAAAGTCACGGGGATCAAAAATTGGTGACACCAGGGTTGGGAAATTTCTGGTTCCAATGAGAACTGAACACTGGAACACGAACAGTTTGGAAACCACTGAAACTGCTACACGAAACCACTGGAACCAATGAAAAATATGTGTAAATTTTATTTTTAATATCTATATTTACCTATAATAATGAAATAAATATGGGTAATGTTACCGCCACTATAGTCTTCTTTCTTTTGAGTCAAACTTTATGACAAAGCTTGAATGATGTCAATTTTTCACAATAATTATCTTTTTTTTTTTTTTTTTTTACATTCCTCCATGTCATATGACCATTTCTCCCTGTTTCCTCAATTTATTATTTTTCGAAAAGTTTTTTTTTAAAAT